AAGCCGTTAAGGGGGGAATGGCAGGGTATGGAGAATGGACTAAGGCGGCTCCAGTTCGGGATTTCATTAACTTCCCAAGACCAATGGCTATTAATGGGGGCGAGAGAAGGCATGCTGGGGCAACACGGATGGGCTCAAGGTCATCGAGTCAATGAAGAAGGGAGGAATCCTTGGGGGAAATAAGCACAAATACTGAAAAGAATGAAGAAGACCCGACCCCACAAATCTTTCATCTTGGCAAAGGTAAGGAGCATTTGGGAACTCCGTCTGCCAGGATAGAAGAGATTCCAGAAGATGATCCTGCTCAATCGGAAGGAGTTGTAACAATGCAGAAATTTGTTCCTCAACCCTATCAGCTACAACGATGTATGGAAATCTGTGGAGAAGGGGGAGTCAAGGCTGTCCAGGTGCAGGGTATTAGTAGTAACAATAAACGTGAGCTGGATGGATTGGATAAGGAGGGAGGTCAATCATCTATGAAAAAAGTTAGAATAGAGAAGGATACAGTCCAGGCAAAGGATCTAATGGCAAAGCAAACGGGATCTTCTTCCCGAGGTGGTGGCAGCTGGCCTTTAACAACCGCACGGTCTCCATGATACACCTGTTCTGGAACTGCCGTGGTCTCGGGTCGGACACGGTAGTTCGAGCTCTTCATGGGCTAATTAGGGAACATAGACCCTCTATGATTTTTCTTTCAGAAACAAAAATGAAAGATCATAGAATAGTAGGAGTGAGGAGAAGAATGGGGTACTGCAATGGTTTTGATGTTGCTCCGGTTGGCAGGGCTGGAGGTCTCAGTCTCTAGTGGGATGATTCGGTTCAGGTGAATGTGAGCGACTCTTCGAAACATTTCATTAATGTGACCTGTTGCATTGTAGATCTGCAATGTGTGTTCCGGTTTACAAGGGTGTACGGAACGTCTTACAGCAGTGAGAAGGTTGACTTTTGGAGGGGAATGATACAAAATTTCGGTTCGGATGATACCCAATGGACATGCGGTGGGGATTTTAATGAATTTCTATGGGATCATGAGAAATCGGGAGGAGCTGAAGTGAGATATAACCGAACAAGATATTTAGAGGAGTTTATGAGCAAATTAGAGATCTTGGACTTGGGCTATAATGGCCTTAAATTCACTTGGCGGGGGAAACGAAATGGGCAGCTAGTGGAGGCACGATTGGACAGAGCGCTTGGGAATGAAAATTGGCAGGTTCTTTGGCCTAACTATTTGGTCTCTATTGGCACGACGTTGGGTTCTGACCATAACCCTGTTCTTGTGCACTGTGCTCCGAAGGTGGAAAATAGCTAAAAGATATTCCGGTTTGAGGCATACTGCGCGAACGAGGCAGATTGTAAGGAGATTGTGAGACAAGTCTGGGTGCAACCCCAGGAAGGCAACTCGGTTGAGAGGTGGAACAAAAAAATCTGTGACTGCCGCGCTCGGCTTCTTAGGTGGAGTGGAAGGAAATTTAGTCAGAGACGCTGGAAAATTCAGGAGATGATGAGCCAATTGGGACGGCTTCAAATGGACTGGAGAAGCAACTCTCAAGAAATAGAGGGTTTATCCAAAGCTGTTGATACTTTGTGGAGTCAAGAGGAATGTGTTTGGAAACAAAAATCAAGGGTCCAGTGGTTACAGGAAGGGGATGCCAATACAAAGTTCTTTCATCAATCTACTTTACAAAGAAGAAGGAGGAATAAGGTGGTAACTCTCAAGAATGATAACGAGGAGTGGGTGGATAATCCTGATCAGGTTCGTAGGCTATTTGATGAGCATTTTATGGCTCTATTCTCTTCCTCGGGACATAGGGACTGGGGTGGCATCCTTGACTGCGTCATACCTAAGGTTTCGGAGGAGATGAATGCTACATTATCGGCTCCAGTTTCTGCGGACGAGATAAAACAGGCTGCTTTGAATATGGGTGGTCTTAAAGCCCCCGGCCTGACGGTTTCCAAGGCATATTTTATAGGTCTCAGTGGGATATTATAACTGCGGATGTCAATAAAATGATTGAGGATCTGATGGCTGGGTCTTTACAACCTTTGCAAATCAATGCGACTCACCTGGCCCTAATTCCAAAAGTTCCAAACCCGGAGTCTGTGTCTCATTTTCGCCCCATCAGCCTCTGTAACTTTTCTTACAAAATTCTTTCCAAGGTCCTAGCCAATCGCTTAAAAAGGTTTCTGCAGGATCTGATCTCTCCAAGCCAAAATGCTTTTGTGGAAGGTAGACAAATTCAAGACAACATTGGTATTGCGCATGAGCTATTCCACTTCCTTAAAACAAGAAAGACGAAATGCAAGCTGGAGTTGGGAATTAAACTGGACATGCATAAAGCTTATGATAGGGTGGAATGGGACTTCTTATTGGCAGTTATGGAGAAGATGGGCTTTGATAGTCGCTGGAGAAATTTAATCCTGAGGTGTATCTCCACTGTTAGTTTTGCCATTCTCCTTAATGGTCAACCTGGACCTCGGTTCGCTCCTTCTCGCGGGCTTCGCCAGGGGGATCCCCTGTCCCCATATCTCTTTTTGCTGGTTAGTGAGGTGCTATCTCTTCTTATTAAGCAGGCGGGTGAAAGAAAACAGATTGAAGGGGTAAAAATGGGCCTTGCCGGTCCCATGATCTCTCATATATTTTTTGCTGATGATACTCTGATTTTCATGAAGGCGGATGAGAGAAATTGCAGGAATTTAGTTCAGGTAATTGATGAGTACTGCTTGGCTTCGGGACAACAGGTCAATAAGTCAAAATCCAGTGTTTACTTTGGGGGAAATGTACCGGAGTCTCTCTCACTCTAGCTAGCTGCCATTCTTGGTATGGAAATAGTTGGGGATCCGGGATTGTACTTGGGTGTTCCAGCTATCTGGGGTAAATCTAAAAAGAATGGACTTGCTTACATCAAAGGTCGTCTGTTAGGAAAAATCCAAGGTTGGAAGTGTTCTACTCTCTCTCAGGCGGGGCGTGAAATCCTTATCAAGGCGGTGGCGCAAGCAATTCCGGTGTATCCTATGAACCTCTTCAAATTTCCTTCGACTCTTTGCAATGAACTTGATGCTTTGATATCGAAGTTTTGGTGGGGTCAAAAAGAGGGAGAGAACCGTATTCATTGGGTCTCAAAGGAAATATTGGGCCGATCAAAACAAGATGGTGGTCTTGGTTTGCGATGCTTCATAGATTTCAACGATGCTCTTTTGGCTAAGCAATGTTGGAGGTTGTTATCGGAACCAAATTCTTTGTGGGCGATGGTGCTTAAAGCCCGATACTTCCCTAATTGCTCTCTCCTTGACGCAAAACGGGGAGGAAGAGCGTCGTGGGCTTGGTCTAGTCTCCTTGTTGGAAGAGATATTATTCTCGAAGGTGCACACTGGCAGATTATGAATGGCACAGAGGTTCGGGTATGGGTGGACAGATGGCTTCCTTCAATCCCCTCGGGAAGACCTTCTCCTTTGGGTACGGTTCAAGTCTCTAGGAATTTGAGGGTCAACTCTTTGATTTGTAATGAGTCTGGGGATTGGGAGGTTGATTTCTTGAAACCTTTTGTGGTGGAAGAAGAGATCAAGGCGATTCTGAAGATCCCTTTGGGTGATCCAACCTTAAAGGATAGATTGGTGTGGCATTTCGAAAAAAAGGGAGCATACTCGGTAAAATCTGGTTATCATTGGGCTGTGTCCAGGACTCATATTCACAAGAATGTCAACCCGCATAGGTCTGATATGATACCGACTCAGTTATGGAAGTGTATGTGGAGTTTGGAGGTTCCTCAAAAAATAAGGGTTTTCATGTGGAAGTCTCTTCATGCGGCAGTGGCAACGATGGCAAACCTATTCTTTAGGCGCTCTTCTCTTTCCCCCATGTGCCTTCTCTGTAACTCAGCTGAGGAATCTATGGAACATCTTTTTCTCCAATGCCCGTGGGTTGAGGCGGTGTGGAATGGGGGAAGTATGACTCGCGGTATTGGCAGGGTGGGGTTTATTTCTTGGGTAAATTAGTTAAATGATATTTATGATGCGGCTAATGCTAACAGGGGTGAAAGGATCAAACTGTTCTCATATATTGCTATTACCTGTTGGCACATTTGGAAATCTCGGTGCAACTTTATCTTTAAGCAGCAACCAATTTACCCAGGGCAGGTTATCGCCGCTGTTCATCACTCGGTGGGTATGTTCCAAAAGGCAAATCGTGTCCCAAGTAATAGGCCCAGGATCATTGATCTGGATCGGGGCAATGCAGTTTCTTGGTCTCCTCCTGGCGCGGGTTTCATAAAGATAAATGTGGACGCTAGTTGGAATGCTAGGGAGTGTGTGGGCTTCGTGGGTGTGGTGGCTAGGGATGATTATGGCAGGTTTGTGGCTGCTTGCAGAAAGAATATCAGTGCATTGAGTGTGGCATTGGCTGAAGCTAAGGCTATTTTGCATGGCGTTTCGTTGGGGCGGTCTATGGGGTGAAATGATATTATCATTGAATCTGATTCTTTGGACTCTGTGTCATGTCTTCAGGATCTTAATTCGATGGGCAGTTGGGATGCTTTTCCTTTGCTAGCTAAGTGCACATGTATGGGGAAGGCTTTCCAAGATTGTCGCTGGTCTTGGGTTCCAAGATCGGCCAATAAGGCAACGGACAGTTTGGCGTCGTGGCACTGTAGGGAGGTATGTGATTTTGTTTAGGTTAACCGACCCCCATCTTCCCTTGTTCATGTTCTGTGTAATGACGGTCTCCCTTGTCCCCATTAGGCTTGTAGTTTTGGTGCAAGGAGTGACACTTTTAGCATTTGATGCGGTGTCGGATGCTTCCTCCTTGTACTTCGTTTTCTTGCTTGGTCGTAGCTGGCATGTTTGCTTTATTGTAAGCTTTCTTGTTCTCTTTGACATCTCTGCCCGGGTAATGCATTATCTCGTTCACCAAAAAAACAGTAAAAGTGCGTATGTCACGTGCCAGCGAACCTAACATTCTTCCAAGATCTCAATTCTCTCTCTTTAACGGTGGTTGGTCTTATCAACCATTAATCTAATACGCTGGTAGATACTATGCTGCTCCTCCTTGTTCTTCTTCTTGTTCAAATTCTCGAGACAGAGTGATGGCGGCGGCGGCTGTGGTTTTTTTGGCGGCAGTGCTCCTCTGAAACTGAATTGGTCCATTGCCAAAAGAGAGAATGGAGGGATCCTCGTCCTCTTCTTCCTCATCCTCCTCATCCGCTATTTTCTACGACTTTCTCGATCGAATGCGAGACCCTGCTTCCCTCGATCTCGTCCGATCTATCAAAAGGTACTGCCTGAAACTTAAACCTAATCAATGGAATGGAATCGAATCGAATCGAATCAACATTTAAATTGTTTGGTTTTATATTTGTTTCAGTTTTATCGTTTCCTTGTCGTTTTACGCGGCCAACCCTGAAAGTGATGGCTAAAAGGTTCAGGAATTCTACGCAAAGATGGAAGATATTATTAGGGATCATCCTTTGTGGGCAGGTGCCACGGATGAGGAAGTCAATTGTGCAATGGAGGTACTGTAACTCGCTCCCTGTTTGTTTCAATTCAAACACGGTGGACGAATTTGGTTCAGTCTATATTGGTCTTCTTAAGAATTTCAAAATTCGCTTCACCCGATAATCAGTTTCTCCTTACATCGTATCCCTTTTGGTTAACAAATTAAGGGAAGACAATATAGGATGTACAACCAAATTATTTTTTTAACATGTGGGATATTGAGTTTGGAGTGTGTCTGCCTATGGCTACTGCAGGGTTTGGAGAAATATGTCATGACAAAGTTGTTCTCCCGGACCTTTGCTTCTTCACCCGAGGATGCAAAGATTGACTGTGAAACCTCGCACAAAATACACTTGCTGCAGACCTTCTTGAAGCCTGAGCATCTGGATATTCCAGTAGTTCTGCGCAACGAAGCTTCATGGCTGGTGTGTGTGTGCTGCATTTGCACTGATTGTTGGAAGTGCTAATTACTGCTGGCACTGCATTCCTTCTTAGTGCTTATTTAGTTCCATTTAGTTATGCTAATACAATGTTCTGTATATTGTTTGTCATTTAGATTTAGTATTCATAGTTACAAGGTTATTCTATTATCTCTGTTTTACCAAGCGCTGTAGTAGAGGTCATTATATTTGAAGGTGATGACTTCCAGCTAAATACTTGGTTGTTCTTAAATAAGTAAATCAACCCTAAAAGACATGTCAATTAGGCTCACATTTTCACTTTTATCTCAATGATTATATTTCCTTGGAATAACGAATCAGGTTTAGTTTCATAATTTTCGTTCCCAGCTCAGACTGAATGTATTTATCTTGTATTTTAGTGATTGTGACTTCAGTAGACACACATTTTCTTAGGATTAGTAGTCCTCAATTGCGATTCATTTTCCAGCAGAGCTGCTTCAATTCTTTATTAATTACGTGCACCAAACAGCAGCCTTGTTGCCCTGCCTGATACACAACGAAACCAACATATGAATGAATGCACTTAGCATCAGACTCGAAAACTCAAGCTAAATACGGTATATATACATATCTATGCAGTCACACTTTTTAAATCCTAACAGTGCCTTTTGATTTCAGCCATTCTCGATATTGATAATAAAAGGAATTTCTGCTTCTGCTCTTTCCTTTTGTTTTCCTTTGGAGGTGAATGTGTGGTTTGAGAGATAATAAATAATCTGAAAAGAAATTCTTTGGTAGGAATAATTGCAGAAAATATTGGATAGTATCCTTCTCCCCCTTGAATGGATTGGTTTTATGAAGATGAATGGTCATCCAGAGAACTAGATTCTTCAAGATCTTTTATAACTGCATTACTCAGCTTCTCTATTTTCCTTTTATTATCAATTTAGAGTTGTAAATTGTTTTTATTTGATATAAAAATGTTGTACTTATTCCGTGTAAGAACCAAGGACTAGCCACAACTTCTCTCTTTTCTACTCAGCTTGCAGAAAAAGAATTGCGGAAAATCAATGCCTTCAAAGCCCCTCGTGAAAAGCTTCTGTGTATTATGAATTGTTGCAAGGTCATTAACAGTCTGTTGCTGAATGCATCAATGTCAGAGAATCATGTATTAGCAGGAGCTGATGACTTCCTTCCTGTCCTTATTTATGTCATGATCAAGGCAAGCTTCCCTTGGTAATAAGCCATTCTGTCAATCGTGCCAGTTTTAATTTTTCAGATTTTAACAGTGTGAGGTCACGTCATACATGCCTAAAGATATTTGGTTTTATTACCTCATTTGTTTGGTCCTGGAGTGTGTTATATGTTAATTTTTTTTCCTTACTATTGATTGCCTTGTCAGCATCATCAGATTGTTTTAGTTGGTCATAAGGTGTTAATTGGTGTTCATGGTCATTTTGTGTTATCTAAGTAAGATATTATATTTGATGCTAGTTGTTGATCAATCATTTTCTAAGTTTTTTAAGAAGTGCTGTGTTAGCTGTGAAGCTTGATTTCCATATGCTACATCACTAGTTACTAACTCTTTCAGCTTTGCACTAACAGGTCAATCCTCCACAGTTGCATTCCAACCTCAAATTTATTCAGTTATATCGAAGGCAGACAAAACTTGTGTCGGAAGCGGCTTATTACTTCACCAATCTTGTCTCGGCCAAAACATTTATTTTTGAGTTAAATGCGAAATCTATTTCTATTGATGAAATTGAATTTGAAAAGAGTATGCAAGATGCAAGATTGACCAATAAAGCAACAGAAAAGGGCGCCACACATGCTTTGGAAGAAATGACAGCCTCACAAGGCCAGACAGATCCTGGTTCATCAGCGGCATCGCATTATAAAGGAAGAAGCGGTAAGGTTCAAACTATAACTCATTTTCCTAACCCTATGTTTGGATGAGGAACTTTCAATGTCTTGAGGAACTTTTAAAGTCTCAAGGAACTTGAGACTCAATTGTTAAAAATGCATGAGAAGAAGCACTACCAATTAACTGCTAGAGCAGTACAAAGCTACTACTAAAACACTACAAATGCACTACAAAGACGCTAAACAAAAGACTTCCAAATGACACGTTTCAAGGAGTCATTCGAAAGTTCTCTCAAATGTATTGCATTTAGTCATTTTGAAGTCTCTATTTAAATTCCTAAAAATTTTGCCCTTAGATCCATGGAACTTTAAAGTTCCTCATCCAAACGCACCATAAATGTTACATTTTCGTCAATCCTTAATTTTGAGGTGTTTGCATTAATCAACACCGCCTGATAACTTTAAGGCCTCGTTTTGGATTGGATTGGGTTGGTTTGCATAATTCACTAGATTCTATGTATGTTGAAGCAAGAAAATGAATATCAACTTGAAAATCTTGTCCAAGTTGAAGTTAGAAGATGGATTAGTTAGGTAGGGAACGAATCCATTCCAATCCTACCAAAGTGAAGAGTTTTGTTCATGAGGCATGACTAATCAATGATCTACCTTCGTTGCATAAAGTATGTAATTCAGTGAGGATATCTATTTCAACTTGTGATTCATTCACAACCTGGATTCCTTATCTTGGTAATCCAATATCCGTTTGGCTTTGTTTGTTGCCATGGATTGGATTGGGTTAGATGACTTTCAATGCATGACGGTGTGCAGATAACAAAATAATATATCGCTTGCCACTGGCGGAGCCTGTTAAAACCTAGGAGGGTCATGTGACCCTTCTCACAATTTGGAAATGTTGTATTTATATGTGCTATATTCATATAGCTTGGCTTTTATAGTTATAGTTGACCTTCCTCACAAATGTAATTTGCTCATAGTTGAGGGTCCAATACATAATTTCATAATATCATTCTTTGCCTCTTAATCAAATAAAAGATATTAAATTTCATGTCCTCATACTCATATCCAGTTACTTTTATTTGAATTTGCACCAAAATGCGTAGGCATGATTGCTTGCTGCCATTGTTGGAAAGCATCATTTGCTATAATGTAATTAATTAAATCATAACGATACCAAGGCTGGAAACCTGGTATATTTTTATGCTAATTAAGTTGATACTTGTGATCTTTTCTGAAGTAATTTTCATTTATAAGGTCAATTTATCATAATTTGATTGACCCTCCTTCATAGAATTTCTGACTCCGCCATTGCCGCTTGCTTTATTTTTGCTTTTGTATGCTCGAATAATTGGAGCTTTGGACCGTACATTTTTAGTATGGTGTCATATTCCAATCCAAAAATCCATACGTAACGGATAAATGCATCCACCATTGTGAAAATATGTTTGTCCGTTGAGGTTATATACTTTGTTATTTTGTTTCTGCTAGTTACCCTTCCAGACTCTCGACTATGATTTAAACATTCTGTTGAAAACTACAGGTTCATCAAATTACCCTTATGTGGACAAAGAGGCTGGAGATTTGACAGTTGGAGATGTCGAAAGACTGCTAAGCGCGTATAAGGAAGTGGTTACCAAGTATACGAGTCTCTGCGGCTGTTAGAAAGCTTTCTTTTTCAAGGACTGAACCCCATGCCACTGGTTTAGAAGCCAGAAATGTAGTGTTGACAGAGTCGGAGGAAACAGATAAGAATTCTGATCAAAGAGGATGAAGGGGCAACTTCCAAGATCAGTTACCATTTTCAAAATCATGACAAACAAAGTTTTGCTAGGCACACAATGAATAAATAGCCTTTTCTTTCTCCATTCAGCCATCTACAGAGAAATTTTCTCAAGGAACTGCTAAGACGACAAAAAACCTGCCCCCATCCAAAAACTAGCGAATGTTAACTGTACAGAAGGTTACAATTACAAAGCAGCCAACACCGAATGTCATGTTCACGTCAGATGCCACTTTGGGACCCTCAGTTGCGGCCGCCTTTGCTCTGCGAGCTGAGCTGGAGAAAGAAACACTCTTGTTAACTCCCTTGGCTTGTTCATGGGTGTTTTGGGCTTTCTTGGCTCACACATCTCATGCAAACAAACTTTGCAGGCATCTCATCAGAGCTATGAATCCCGGCACACCTGGTGTGCTGCCAAACACCACATGTATCACAAGCCAACATTCTCTCCCCGTCGTCATCCTTGGCCCCACATGTGCAATCAACGGTCCAGCTTTCAAGTCCTCTCTCCATCCGGAAACGGTTCAGCCCATGTTTAGCAGGGCATCTCCCTTTCAATGGAATTGAGCCACATGATCCAAGCAGAAGTTTTACTGTAAATGAATCCTTTATGGAGCCATATCCAAGCAATTCCTCTACTTCAAACCTCTTGAACATGGCATATACTTCCTGAAATGCTGTGGTGGCTTCCTTTTTAAGGTCAGCAACTGTCGCACTCAAGGGCAAGACAATTAGTTCCGGAGGCAGGACAAAATCATCCTTGGACTCGTCTGAAAGCGCTACGTGACACCAGAGGTGAATCCCAAAGGAGCTTTCCTCTGCCATTTTATAAGGCTTATAGTCCTTCACGAATTGCTTGCAATCAAGAAGCTTAGTTGCTGCATCGATAATGCGTTCCCTCATCACTTGAGGTGTATGGCTTAGCATGGTGTCAGGGTGGAGAATGGAATCATATAAAAATTTGAGGTCACAAAGGATTTGCTCTTCTGATGGAAAATTCAAATCGGACTCGTATCCATCAACATTTTGAACACTTGATGACTCAAGCCTGTTACCATAATTAATGTCAGGACAACACTCAAAGAATGTATTAATTTGACAAAAGCAACTGAACCAAACAATGATGGTCTCTAATTACCTGTATTCTACGTCAACTGAAGCGGGACTACATCGGGCCTTAACTACCATACCATTGGGTGCCAACTTCCCTCCTAGGTGTTTAAGGCAGTAATCAAGAAGCTCCAGAGAGGAATTCTTGTACAATGCACCCCTGAGAGCTCGTTTTGACACCCAGCTAACCCCGCCAGTACCAAATGCTGCAAGCAGCACCTTGATCATCGCTTGCTGCACATGTTCGACATCATTGGCCGTCCACGCACATAAAGCATTGGAAGGGTACTGCTGCTCGGGTTTCGTGTTAGATGATGTATGCACACGGGCTCTATGGATGAGACTCAGCATAAACGTAAAAAGATCCTTGATTGTTAGGAGTTGGATATTGGATAAAGATTGGTAAAAGGCAATAACAGACTGGAGGCGAGTCCGGGGTTTCCTTGGTTGGAATAGAAAAGGGTCTAGGGGCAAGCTGGACAGGGTATCCACTGCTTTTTGGTAAGAATGTTGAGTGAGAGCATAGCTCCCAGCACCAAATTCATAACCCCAATTGCCATACCAAGAACGGCCGCTGGTGACAGCGTGCAGCATTCGGTACTCCATGCCGTACTTCTTGGACACATCCATCACACTAACTTTCCTGTCGAATGTAATTCCAATTTCAACACAAGTAATGCAATTCAGTTTCCCATTGATCTCCAAATCAAACATAATTTGCAGAATAACATAACAAAGTAAAAGGAAAGAATTAAGGACCTGACGGAGAGGGCTAGACATAGCCTATCCCAAAAGTCCAAAATGTGACGGCCAGAGAGAATGGCGGAGCCGCCTTGTCTACCGTTGAGGGTGAGAAGGTGGGCGAAGCCATTGGAGTGAATGACGGCGTGGAGGAGGTGGGCGTTGTCATGAAGCTGAAGATACGCCCACTCTTCCACAGCATCCATCTCTGCAGTCGTGGTGGTGGCACTAATAGAGTTGCACCACTTGCTGCCGCCGCTTCTCTGCATCTGCTCATTCTCACCGCTCTCAGCCCCTCTTCTTATTATGAAGTGGTACCGCTTCTTGCACACCGGATGCCCACTCCAACCTTCGTGTTTGTATTTTTGCCAAACCAACGTTAAGTAAAACATTATCCAAAACATAATTATTAATTAATAAATTAATCAATAACAGAGAGAGAACGAGAGTGGGTGAGTGGACTCACCAACGACTCGGCACTGGTCGCAGTAGACGGATCGTCTGGAGCGGGTGACATCCTCCTCCACCACGTCCAAGGGAAGCACGGCGGTCGGGTCGCCCGGATGCCCGAGCCGGAGCGAGATCTGCGACGTCACCAGGGAAGGGAACAGCGAGGAGGATGGGCACGTGACATGCGCGTGGTGAATGAGGAAGCGGCGAACGCTGTCGCGGAAGGGCAGGGGCTCGACCTCGTGGTTTTGGGGGAAGGGGAAGGTGAAAAAGTCGGGGAGATCGGCGGTGACCCTCCTCCTGGCGCGCTTGGAAGGTCTGTCGTTGATGACCATGGTAGATCTGGCTTCGTAGTTTGGTTTTTTGTTTGTTTGTTTAATTTTGTGAGTGATTTGGTGTTTGGTGCCTTTAAATTCAAAAGCCTTGTTCACAGAGTTCCACACACAGAGATTCACAGATTCAGATAAACATCTTTAATAAAAAATAAAAAATAAAAAATTATACTAACAAGGTAGGAGGTAGGAGGTAGGAGGCGAGACGAGACGAATCGAATCGAATCGAATCGAGGCAAGTCGCAGGAGTATTTTTAAGAATTTAGATTAAATTAAAACAAGAGCAGAAGAGCAACTGAATTCTGAATCTTGGATGTTTGATTTGACTGGGTCGCTTCCTTTGCTTTTTACTTTTATTTTTATTAAATAAAAGAAAATAATCTTAAATTTTAGAATTGGTAAGGTTTCGGAAGGCGGTTCCTGATTTTTCTTTTGTATTCTGTTTCCTTTTCCATCCCCACTTCTCTACATTTCTAATTTTCTTTCTTCTCATCTTTTGCTGATAAGAAGTTGTATTACGCTATTCGCATTCTTATTTTTATTTATTTATTTATGTATTAATTTAATTCAACTCATTAGAAAAAAACCAAATAAACGTGTTAATAGCACTATATTTATCAAATTAGGATTAAATGGGAAAATATTTTCTACAATTTGTTTTTTGTCAAACGGTAGATTTTTATTAGATTAAATGTTAGATTAACCCTACTGACGAAGTTCTAACTCACGCCGTTATACAAAAACTCAACACCTTTTCACCATTGTAGTAAATGGTCACCTGCCTACAATTATTCTTCCCTTGTTGCAGTCCTATTAGAATATGAATGTGATTGTGTAAATCCTAGTATATCTTAGAATATCTCTTATATTCCTATTAGGAGTAGATTACCTATTAAATGTTGTAATTCTAAAGGGAAATGTTTTTACCTTTCCTATTACTATAAATAAAGACACAATGGGGTGGAATAACACACTCACAATTACACATCTTTCTCTTTCTCTTTCTCTCTACTATTGTCGCACCTCCTCTCTTTATGACCTCCATAATTATTTAGTAAATTATGCCTACAATACGTTATCAACACGCTCTTAACGCTACACTAAAGAGAGTTTATTCTTCAATCAGATGAGTATTACGTTTTTAATCATTTTTTATGATTAATTTATTGTTTTGAATTGATCTACATGCTATTGATTCAATTTAATTTTTCTATGTTGAACGTGATACAATGCATTGGAGATGCAATTCCGGCTTTCCGAGATGGATCTTCTACAAATTCAAATGCTTTTGTAGTTTTCTGCCAATCAGGTACGCTTAAAATAAAGTAAGATATTTGAAACGACCTTGAAGCATGAAAACATTCCCCATAATGCATGAACTCCCCTATATTTATATTTTCCTTTCGATATCTATATTGTATATGTTCATATATTTGTCAATATATATATATTTATTTCATGCATTACGCAATTTTTGCTATGTGAAATATGTGAGTTGTTTGTACCATACTTGATCAATCCCGAAACTACTGAGCACCGGTCAACGTTATACCGTCAAGGACCCAGAAGAGTTTCCCTCCAACCAGGAGGCTAATCACAATGCGACACGTGTCAACATTAGAAGCCAATCACAACACGACACGTGTCAATATCATAACAAAGCTAGAAACTCTTCTATAAAAGGAGATCGTTCTCCCACAATATTTCCTAGTGTCATTTGTACTAAATCATTCGCTGGTACTCACTAAAGGAGAGCTTAAACCTATGAACTTATGTAAACCCTTCACAATTAATGAGAATTCTTCTACTCCGTGGACGTAGCCAATCTGGGTGAACCACGTGCATCTTATGTTTGCTTCCCTGTCTCTATCCATTTACATACTTATCCATACTAGTGACCGGAGCAATCTAGCTAAGGTCACAAACTTAACATTTTCTGTTGTACTAAAGTCCTCACTGATTTTGTGCATCAACATTTGGCGCCGTATGTGGGAACGACACTTATTCCCACTCTATTCAGCTTTGCCAAGCTGGTTTCCACCATTCATACACTCTCTTTTGACCAGGCATCCCTCTCCAATATGGGGAGCGAAGGAAGCCACAACACATAAAATGACACCCATCTTGCACTTGGTGCGAAGCAACGAAAGAAGGAAGGAAAGAGGGTTGCTCTTCAAGCTAAAGTCGATGAGCTAGAAGCTCAGAACAACAAGACAGCAATAAAGAATGAGGTCCTCCATGAGCAATATGAGAAGCTCTTTGAGACGTTCCACGAAATTTGGCGTACTCAAACACGCGAACTCGTTGCCCCTGTGGACATCAACCATTATCTGGGTGCCCCCCAACACGGAGGGTCACCTCCCTTCGACATGGGTATCCCTTATGAGGAGCGAGCTAATCATCAAAACATTGATCAACAAGAGACTTCTCTCAACCCAGATGCTTCGACCCG